CTCCCCCCGTCGCCCCTCCCCCCTCCGGCTTACACCCTCCAACACGCCCCTGAGCCGCGTGCAGTCCCGCAGCACGACGTACTTGCGCTCGAGAGCGTTGCGGATGCCGGCGAGCGGGGTGAGCTCGAAGATGATCAGCCCGGGGGAGGTGGGGGTGCGGGGGGTGGGTGATGGAGATGGAGATGTAGGTGTGAGTGTAAGTGTAAGTGTAGGTGGGGTATGTGTAGGTGTGGAAGGTGTGGAGGGTGTACCGGGTGTACGGGGAGTGTGAGGAAGAAAAGGGATCTCGAATACCTCGGAGTGCATATCCATATCCCCATCATCTTCCGTTTCTGCAATCCTCCACCACCCGCTCGCGGGGACGCCGAACTTGGTCTGGACCCATATCGCGGTCGCGTCCACCGCGGGGTTGAGCACGAGGAGGAGGGTGTACGCGGCGGCGAGGGTGTGGGCGGCGGAGGTGTGGGTGGGGGTGGAAGCGACCTCCAACGCCTCCACCGCGCCGACCCGCCCTCCCCTGCGGCGGACATGGGCTCTCCAGACGTCGAGAAAGGAGTTGGGGGCCCAGCGGTGGCGGTGTGCGGATTGTGTCTGTGCGAAGGGGTGAGTAACAGTTGAGTTGGGAAAGGGAAGGGAGGAAAGAGAGAGACGTACCTCCTCCAACCTGCGCACCAGCTCGTCCTCTGTTCTGGCCGAAGCCAACGTCGATGTCGATGGAGGGCCGCGTCGGGTGCTGGTGCGAAACCCCAGTCCAAGTCGGAGTCGGGGACTGGGAGTGCTGGGACGAAGCGGATGCGGAAGTGGGTGATATCGTTCCCGCACCCTGTGCGCGTTCCCTTTTCTGTGTCGTATTTCTCTTCCTCCGTCCTCTGCGCGCTGTCGTATTTGTGTTTGTGTTTGTGTTTGAGTTCGAGTTTGTGTTTGTGTTTGTGTTTGTGTTTGGGTTTGTGATTGGGTTTGTGTTTCTGCGTTGCGTTCTTCTTGAGGTCGTTCTGGTGCGGGGACACCGTCAACACCTTTTCTCCGTCCCTCGTCTCCCTCTCTCCCTCCCTCAATACCCTCCCTCCCTCCCTCGTCCCCCTCCCTCCCCCCCTCGCCCGGCTGTTGCAGCTGCTGAGACTCCCCCTGCGGCTGCAGCTGCGGAGCACGCACGCGCTCGTGTGTCCGCGAGCGCCCCGTGGAGAATGATTCCCTGAGCAGGGGGTCGGGGGGGGATGGTTCCAGGAGAGGTTTGGTGTTTGCCTGTTCCAGAAGTGTGTTAGGGTTTGGCTGTTCCAGCAGAGTATTGGTAGGGTCCAAAGCGGGAGGAACGGTAGTCACCTCCGTGGAAGTCGGCTCTGGAGACACCGATCCCGATTCTGATTCCGATTCCGATTCCGATTCCGATTCCGCACTCTCACTGACACTGACACTCGGCACGCTCGTGAACCCCGTGAAGCTCCCCGCGCGGGACAGAAGCGACGGGGTGAGCGGGCTGAGGAGGGCGGGCGGCCCGCTCTGCGGTGGCGAGGTGGGTTTGAGGAGCGACAGCCGCGGGTGGGTGGTGGGGTGTGTGTGGAAGACCGCGGGGAGGGTGGGATGCGGGGGTGCATGAACAGTGGGAGTGGGGGGCAGGGAGATCGGGTGCGGGCGGGGTGCGGGGGGTGGGTTGGTTGGAGTTGGAGTTGGGGTGCTTGGAGTTGGGGTTGCGGGGAGGGGAGCTGGGGAGGCGGGTGTGTGGGTTGGGGTTGGTGTTGGGGTTGGCTGGGGAGGAGTGGAACCAAGGCCCGAGAACACGGATGGAGAAGAAAGCGGAAAGGGGTTCAGCGTCGTCGTTGCTAGGCTTGAGAATGCCGAGGGCGTCGGCTCGGGGGTTGGCTTCGGCTCTGGAGTTGGCTCTGGCTCGGGAATTGCCTCTGGCTCGGGAGTTGGCTGTGGCTCGGTGCCGTTGATGATATCCGCCAACCCCAAGCCGCCTCTGACCGCGTCAATGTCCTCAATCGTGTCTCTGCCGAACAGATGCTCCAGCAGACACGCGACGAGATACACCATGCCCCGCTTCCCCTGCTGCCCCATCAGCCACGCCGCGAGCTCCGCAAAGATGCGCATGCCCTCCGCGCCCACCACCAACGCGCTGTTCTTCGTAATCGGGCTGCTCTCCGCCTGCACATGCGCCCTAAACGCAGTCGTCAGCACATACACCGGGTGCCGCCGGATCTCCTCCGCGACATCATCCTGCCGCTCGCGCTGGTCGCGAATATGCACCAGCCGGTGGTACACCCGCATCTCCACCTCGTTCGGCGAGCGCCACACCCCCCTCTGATCACTATAAAACTCCTTCAGCGACTGCAGCGTGTTCATCAACTGCTGCTCCTCCAGCGCCACCGAAAACTCCCGCTCCCCGCGCATCGCCCGCAGCGCCACCACGTGGAACCGCACACACCGCTCGTGGCACCCCATCGCCACCGCCCCCCCCTCCCGCTGCATCACAAAATCACTCCGCACAGCACGCGTGCGGTCCCGCAAAAACGCATACGTCCCCACAAACCCCTCCCGCACCAGCAGCTCCCCGAACAGATAATCCAGCACCCCCGCCAGCACGCGCGGCGGCCGCAGATCCGACGGCAGCGTCTTGTCCCCCGCCGCGCGCTCGTACGCCTTCACAGCGCGCGCGTGGCACACGCGCCGGGTGTGCGGCGGCGGCAGCGTCTCCCACGGGAACAGGTTGTTCTCGCGCTCCCGCCGGTAGCGCTCGAACCGCGGGCACATGTCGGGGCAGGTCCCCACGAGCGTGATCGCGTCGGAGAGGCGTTTGGGGACCAGGGGGTCGTCCATGAGCCCCAGCGCGATCTGCTGTGTGCGTTCGGCTTCCCGGGATTTCACGAGCGCGTGCCAGAAGAGGTCCCGCGACTCTTGCGTTTCGAGGAAGGGGTCCGTGTCGGTGTCGGTGTCGGTGCACTTGGGGTTGCTGCTGGGGTTGACCCATTGTTTGTTGCGATGCTTCACTCCTACGCCAGCAGGCATCTTTTGGATATCGGTCAAATCAAATCAATCTCCGTCAAAACTCGTCCACACACCGTAAATGTTTCCCTGATTCCCAAAGCCTTTTCCCAAATATTCCTTGCCTTGACTATTCCCAACGATTCCTGACTATTCCCAAACTTTCCTGCTTATCCCAAACTTTCCTTGATTATGCTTATTCCTAAAACTTAACCTTTTCGAAAGACAAAAGACTTTGAAAAAGAAATGTCACTACGCGAACAATACGGGACAGAGACACAAAGACACAAAGACGCAGGGATTTCATAATCAATGTCATATCAAAAAAAAAAAAACCCCCCCGATTCGGAACCGGAACCGGAACCGGAACGTGGGGGTTTGGAATATCACGTGTTTTTTCTTTCTTTTCCTTTTTCTTTCTTTTTCTTTCTTGAATCCTTTCCTTTCTTTCATTCTTTCCCTCGTTTATTCGGTCACACAATTCTTTCATTCTTTCCCTCGTTTATTCATTCACACAATTCATTCATTCTTTCATTCATTCACACCACAACATACCCCCCCCCTCCCCCCACCTCCAAGCACGGTCCGATGGCGTAGCTGGTTATCGCATCTGTCTCACACATTTGAGTTTTCCCGCAAGGGGGGTGCGGCACAGAAGGTCCCCGGTTCGAGCCCGGGTCGGACCAGTGGTTTGTTATGATACAACTGGGTAGTGGGTAGAGATGGGGTGCGTGTGGTACTGTATTATTACTGGTGTTGTAACTGGTGTGGTACTGGTGTGTTACTGGGGGGGAGTGGGGTTTTTTTGTGGGTTTTGGGGGGGTTTTTTTGTGTGTGTGGGGGGTTTTTTTTGGGTTGGATTTTGGATTTGTTTAATTTATTGTATTTTTGATTTGTTGGATTTTGTGGTAAAACCACGTGTAGGAGATGATGCTTGATAGATGTTGGATAGTATACAATATATAATATATAATATGCAATGTGGAATATACAATGTGCAATAAGCAACATGCAAACACAAATGCAAACAGAAATGCAAATGCAAATGCAAAGTGCAAAGTGCAAAGTGTATTTCCTTGTTTCTTCATATTTTCCACTGGTTGGATATTTTCACTATTTGCGTATTTCCACTATTTGTATGTTTTCACTATTCACATATCTCCACTATTTGTATATTTTCATTTATTCACAGTATCAGTATCACCATCAGTATCAATCAATCAAACTATCAACATCAACAACTCCAGCACCCACTTCCAACTTAACACACATAATCATTTCCATCCCAGTGCACCCCTGCAGGATCACCTACACACCTCGCTCACCTACACACCTCACTCACATAAACACCTCACTCACATAGATACATTAGATAGACTGATTGCTGCCGCCACACCCCTCTTATCTCCAACCATATCCCCAACCAACTCACTATATCCCCAACCAACTCACCATATCCCCAACCAGCTCATCATATCCCCAACCAACTTACCATATCCCCAACCAGCTCACCATATCCCCACCCAACTCAACAACCAAGGCCCCCTCTACATAAACCCTCTCCACACAGGCAGAAAAAAAGAATCAAAGAATTAATCAATCAATCAAATTCCACATGCCAAAACCAAAGAAAGACTCAATCAATCAATCAATCACACACCGTAAAAAACCTTACTAGCAGGCTTACGAAAAGAAAGAAAAGAAAAAAAAAGAAAAATAAGAAAAATAATAATAATAATAATATAATAATAATTACGTTTGACATGTTTATGTTTGATCATTTGACATGTTCAAGTTTGATATGGGAATGGGAATCAAACGAGGGGTGTTCGAAAAATAACATAACTGGGATGTGTATAGATATGTATATAGAGTGTTTTATAGTGCTAGCCCAGATAAGAACAGTATTGAGGCACAGTATTGATAGCCTGCATCGATTTCCATGTAGCTCACCGTCCTCATTTATCTATTATTATGAGTGAAAAAAATGCAATGCATAGTGTGCTGCAAGAGCATTACCATGCACCAGTAGCTTCAGATGGTCTGGAAAATCTGGGTTGGTTACAAAATTTGGTATCAGTGAATACACCAACAATCACCCCACGGCCCCAGTCACTGGATGACAGAACATATATATATATATAATCAGTATACAGCTTGACATCATTACTGTCACCTCCCACTTACAGTATATCTCCCAGGTACCTTGGCCAGTGGAGCTATCTACAACACAAAAAAAATATAAGAAAATAAGGAAATAAGGTGTGATTTTCTGATCAGCTTTTTACTTTTACTATATCACAGTGTTGTTTAGCTCTGATTATGACTGACTAGTTATGATTATGATTATGATTATGATTATAGTATGATGACTAACCAACCAACCAACCAACCAAGCAATCAGCAGGAGGTGCAGAATAATGATTCTCTGGAAATGAGAAACTGTGGATCAGTTAATGTTATAGTATAGGGAAGGAATGAGGACTTGAAATGTGTTAGTTGTGGTTGTACTTGACAAGACTTGAGAGTGCAAAGCAAGTCAATGGAAATCTGCACTATGCCGTTGCATGGTGTCATGAAGCAGCGGAGACAGTGTGATTAAGTGGAACAATGAAACGGAGAGACAGAGTGAAGTTATGAGACAGAGCAGCTGGACAGAGTGTAGGCAAACAGTGCACAGACCAGTCCCAAGACAATTTTTTTTTTTCTTTTTTTGAATCTTGTTTATTCACCTGTGTGCCAGTGCATATGTAGTAAACATTGTACTGTAGTAAAACTATCATACTGGAAGAAGGGACCTGTATCTTTGTTGGAAAACTGTCATCTACGTCAGGCTCCATAAGGAAGCCTCGACGGGGACCCGTCTAACCGCGAGGGTTTGATTAAGCACGGACGTTGTCCATGTGCCTGGTAGGTATAGGTAGGAGGGAGTAATTTGAGAGTTAGTAAGTGAAATGGAAATAGGGTATAAGGAGGCAGGGAGGGGGCGCTATCCTCTACACGTCTTCATTGATCTTCCTCATCCTCATCCTTGAGCCTCAGGAGGTCACCTATGATATGGTGGAAGCGTTTCGTGTCATCGACGTAGCGGAATAGCTGCGGTAGGATGCTCTGGCCGGTGAGCAAGGAGCTCATGTTCCATTGGGTTCTCGCCATACGTGTGCGGAAACGATCGCGGGCTCTGCGGTGCACAGGACATTGGAAAAGGTAGTGGAAGACTGTCTCTGGTTGCTGCTTACAGCATGGGCATATGGGTGTGTCTGCTCGATGGATACGGTGCAGGTGTTTCTGCAGAGGGATGTGGCCGGTTCGTAGTTGGGTCAGGATACATGTGAGTTTCCTAGGCAAGTCACGGGCAAGCTTCCAGAACCGGCGGCTTGCTATTGTGGCACTCGATGGGTCGATTGCGCTGAAATGTGCATAGCGGGGGGATTTCTTCCATATTTTGTCATGGTGTTCCTCGAGTTTATTCCGAAAAGTCCTTATGGCTGCCGTTTGGCTTCGTGGGAGCTGTCTGTGTAGTTGCCATGGTAGGCAAGAGCGAGGACTTGAGCGTCCCTGTGCTGCTCTCTTTGCCTCTTCATCTGCTTGTTCATTCCCTTCCACTCCGAGATGTCCCGGTATCCATGAGATGGTGACTCATAGATCTGGTTCCGCTGATTTGAGTTCCATTAGCAGCAAGTGAAAGATGTCTAGGATGTAGTGGGAAGGGCCACTTCGTGCGGAGTCAGATGCTGCAATAGCGGCAGTGCTGTCTGACCAGATAGACACTGCCACAGGGTTGACTTCGTTTCGTAATAGGTGTAGTGTGAGCATCATGCCCACACATTCTCCTTCATACACTTTGTGATGCTCCTCAGGACCCAGCCGGTATTGGATAGTGCTTGCCTCCTCCTTACCTTTGTATAGTACTGCAGAAGCTCCTATGTATCCTTTGTAGCCAGAACCATCAGTAAATATCTTGTAATATGTAGAATCCTGCTCAAACACTTTTAGTGCCTCGTTCTTGTCCTCCCAGATCCGTATCTTCAATTTTGGGTCCCATTGTGCTTTGTACCGTACTGGCGTCTGTTTTTCCATCCCCTGTGGTTTTAGTCCATACCTTGCGATTAGGTCATGGAGTGGTGAAAAGTGTTTCGTGCGATGTCAATTCCGGGCAGCAGTCAGGGTGCACTCAGCCAAAGGGTGTGAATCCGGGAGTGTGAGGAGTCGTGTGGCCGCTCTATGTCTCTGTCATTCAACCTCCAGGAGGGCGGGCAGTAGCACTGCATGTATATCTAGAATGTCGGATGCCATGGTCGACATTGCTCCCGTTACCATGATGGCAGCCTGGCGTTGAATAGATACCAGTTGTCGTAGGATAGCCTGTCCTTTCTCGTCCTTCCAGGTCTTCCCCCGTTTCTTGGTGTGCAGCACCAGGGTGATATCAGCTGCATAGAGCATCCTCGGGAGGGCCTTGGCCTTGTAGAGCTGTCGGATGTGTTGTGCTGCCATTCCGCTTTTGACTCGGGCCAATCGTCGGAATTGGGTGATCCAGTCCTGACCTCGCTTGACAGTGAGGGCCCGCTGCTCTTTCCACCGCAGTTGCTTGTCCATCAGGCTTCCTAGAAATCTCGCATATGCTTCAGATTTGACCGTAATGGTTCCGATTCGTGCACCTGGTCCAGACAACATCATAGTTTTTCCCTGTGCATGTAGGTCTGGTATTCGGCGTCGGTTGAAATCCACCAGCTTGAATTTGTCGACTCCAAATTCGCAGTTGTGTTCCTCCGCCCATTTGAGTATTCCGTCCTCTCTCGTCATCATCCCCTCAATTTCCTTGTGTAGCTCCTCAATATCGTGGCCCCATTTCATTGCTGCAACGTCATCCATGAAGCCAAAGCCTTCTTCTTGTTCCTCCTTCTTGAACAGCTGTAATAGCCCTGCTGCGTAGAGGATGTAACCAATGGCCGAAAAGGGGTCCCCTTGGTCTTCTCCAGCCAGGACGTTAAATGGCTGGGAGATATAGTCATCAAAGACCAAACGCGTGGTTCGACCTTTATATTGGCACTGCATCCACTGGGTTATCTCGGCTGGCACACCTATGGCCCGCAGTTGGTGGTACAGCTTCTCCAGGTCAACGCTTGGAAAGGCCCCCTTCACATCCATATAGAGCACTGCCACTAGGTATCCCTCCCTCCACAACTCCTTGATTCGGTCAACCATCAGGTGTATTGAGTCAGTTGTGTTGCGACCGGGGCGGGCACCAAATTGCATTGCCGGCATAGTCCCAGCAATTCCGCTGCTTCACAATTTCATCTGCCATGCAGCTGTTCAGTAGCCTCCCGTGGCCGTTCGACAACACGATAGGTTGCCAGGCCCCTGGTAGTCGGTAGTCCGTATGGGCAGGTTTCTTCAGCACTATAGTTTCTGTGTTGGACCAGTCCGGAGGGTAGATCTGCAGGGTGAAGGTTGCGCGGTATATTGGTCCAAGGTATGGGACAATAAGGTCAGCTGTTGCCTTGAAAAGGTCGTTCGGGATGGTACCCGGTCGGGTAGCTTTGCGGTTTTTCATTCGCCATATTGCACTGGTTATGAGTCGATCTGTTGGAGGTTCGAATTTCCAAGCTGGGGGTGGGTAAAGGGAGCTGGTCGGTACATTAGCAGTTGTCGGTGGAGGTGGAAAGAAGGTGTCTCGGAATATGTA